AATTAAATTAAAAAAAAAAAAAAGGAGTAGGCTGAGCCAGGGCCAGAGGAGCAAGCCAGTCAGGAGCCTCCCTCCATGGCCAGTGCTCCAGGTCCTCCCTGCAGGATCCTGCCCTGAGTTCCTACCTTGGGCTCCCCTACCATGGGTTGTTCAGGACACGGAAGCCAACAAAACTCTCTCCTCCCCAAGTTGGTATGGTCAGAGTACTTTGCCAGAGCAATAGAGAAAGAGACTGGAACAGGGCAGCCAAACCTCGGCCTGTGGCCCAGCCCTGGGGGCCACTCCCCGCAAAGGGGACCCCAGACCCTGGTGGGCCGCCCAGAGAGAGGACAGTGTTCCATGTGAGGGCCTATCCCTTGTGGAAAGGCAGTGCCAGCCCAGTCCCGTGGGGAGTAAGGTGGGAGGGCAAAGCAGTGGCTTGTTGCCAACAGGCCCCACGCAGGTGGATGAGTTGGGGTCCAGGAAGAGATGCAGGCCTTCCCCTAGGAGGCACCCTGAGGTGTGAGAGTTTAGGCCCATCTTACCCACCAACTGGGAAGCCTAAAGGAGGTGGAAGTAAAAGGGAAGCAATGACAACTCCCCAGGAAAAGACAGAGAGAGGAAAGAGGCAGACAAGGAGACAGAGGAAGAGAAACAGTGGGGTGGTGGGGATTGGGGTGTGTGTGCGGGGAGGCAGCCTGGGCCCAGTTGCCCTGGCTGCTGAGGATGCGGAGAGGAGGTAGGTGCCTGTGAACTGAAGGCTGGCGATGAGGTCACAAAGCCCTCTCTCCGCCCCACCGGCCGGCCGAGGAGGCCTGTGGACTTGGCTGCGCTGGGCGGCGCTGGGGTTTAGGAGTTGCGGGAAGGGCGGTGGGGTCGTCATTGCCGAGACACTCGTGTGGCGGTGTGGGCAGGGCAGAGACACTGGCCGAAGGTAGGGCAGCAGCGCTTCGTTGCCCCGCCAGGCGCTGGCGGCGCTGGGATTAGACACAGGACAGAAGCTCCGAGAAGTGCGGTGAGGTAGCTAGCAGGCCTCCGCAAAGGCTCCCGATGCGGTCCGATTTGGGAAGCCAAGCAGTCTAGGGCCTGTGGCCCTTGCACTGTGTCCCTCTGGCACCCGCTGCGCCACCCCGCTGCAGGCTCTTGGGTCCGCTAGGAGCGGGGCCAGGCGTCTACGGCCATACCACCCTGAACGCGCCAGATCTCGTCTGATCTTGGAAGCTAAGCAGGGTCGGGCCTGGTTAGTACTTGGATGGGAGACCGCCTGGGAATACCGGGTGTTGTAGGCTTTTGCGCCTCGCACCCGATCTCTCCCTTTTGCACCCTGCCTGGTCAGCGCCCCAAGATACAACTGCACTCCCCTCCGTCCCCAACAAGATCCCCTCACCCTGGTTAGATCGGCTTCTCTGCACCGGCTCCGGCGCTCCCCCGACACTCACTTCTTCTCCCGCCCAACTCACACACACTTTAGAGCTCAGGGACCCGTTGTCCTCTACGCCCACAGACTGCTCGGTGCCCTGCAGCCTAGGGTCTGTGCGGGTAGGGGAGGCCCGCCGCCCCCTGAAGCCCTTATGTCAGGGACCCAGGGGCCGTGGGTAACTGCGGGCCGGGCGGCTCATGGGGCGGATCGTCCAAAATGCCCAGGCAGTGCCTGCCTCCGTGCTTCCTTGGGTGAGGTGTGAGGTCTGGGAGCGGGAAGGGGGCGCAGGGTCTTCTTGACAGCGCCTGGCTGACTCCCACTCCGGCCCGGCAGGGCCCCTCTCCTCTTCTGAGGTCAGACCAGCACCATCCTCCCAGACCCATCCAAAGCCCGCTACTGTTTCCCTCTCTAGCTGCACCCTGACCCCAGCCCGTCCTCATCTCAGCGACCGGGGGACGGGCGGGACTCATTCCTGTCCGCCTGTGCCCTGGGGACCGGCAGGGGCCCAGCAGCAGACCTATCACATGGGACCAGCTGTTCAGCACCCACCGGGAGCTGTCCATCCCAACCCCGCGGGCTCTCGCGGCCTGGGGATTAGGGACCTTGCGGGATTCATCCCTGTCCGCCTGTGCCCTGGGGACCGGCAGGGGCCCAGCAGCTGACTATCACATGGGACCAGCTGTTCAGCGCCCACCGGGAGCTGTCCATCCCAACCCCGCGGGCTCTCGCGGCCTGGGGATTCCAGGGGCCCAGGGGCTGTGGGTAACTGCGGGCCGAGCGGCTCATGGGGCGGATCGTCCAAAATGCCCAGGCAGTGCCTGCCTCCGTGCTTCCTTGGGTGAGGTGTGAGGTCTGGAGGCGGGAAGTGGGCGCAGGGTCTTCTTGACAGCGCCTGGCTGACTCCCACTCCGGCCCGGCAGGGCCCCTCTCCTCTTCTGAGGTCAGACCAGCACCATCCTCCCAGACCCATCCAGAAGCCCGCTCCTGTTTCCCTCTCTAGCTGCACCCTGACCCCAGCCCGTCCTCATCTCAGCGACCAGGGACCTTGCGGGATTCATCCCTGTCCGCCTGTGCCCTGGGGACCGGCAGGGGCCCAGCAGCAGACCTATCACATGGGACCAGCTGTTCAGCACCCACCGGGAGCTGTCCATCCCAACCCCGCGGGCTCTCGCGGCCTGGGGATTGGGGAGGGGGTGGGGGCTGGATATCCGGTAGGGAGCAGGAGGATTTGTTCCTGAGCCCAAAGGGTGGCGGACCCTGCCAACCTGACACCTGGGCTGGAGCCTGGCACTTGCCGCCCCACACCCAGCCACCCCCAGGACTGATCCCTCAGCGACCCCAGGCCACAACTACTACCCTAGGAGGAAAGGGAGTGTTGAGTTTCTCCTGGCTCCCCTAGAAAGGAATGTCCAGGGGCAGGGATCTGTGGGAATGCACAGGAGGAAGCATTGGCGTCTGGTCCAGTGGCAGGTCCCAGGGATGTGGGGATGGATGCCCCTTACTCCTTCCTCCTGGGCAGTTCAGGTCTCTGCATGGCCCGGGAACTGAGGGTGGGGTCGCCCTGCTGGCTCCTGAGAAGGGATGAGGGGACATGGTGGAGGCGTCCACCCACCCCTATACAGGTGTCCCTGTGGATTCAGACTGAGGAAAATGTTGTCCTGGTGAGAGGAGGAGGAGGAGGAGGAGGAGGAGGTCTCCTTGGAGGGTGATTGGTGGATGGGATCCAGGAGGGTGGGGCCTGTGCTGGATCTCTTCTGTGTCAGCTTGACACAGCTGGGTTCATGGAGCCTCCATTGGGGAACGGCTTCCATTGGACTGGCCTTTGGCCACGTTTTTAGGGCATCTTCTTGATTGAGTGATGTGGGAGTGTCCAGCTCTTTGAGGGTAGTGCCAACACCCGGGCACCTCGGCCTATGTGGTCTAAGAAAATGGTTTGATGTCAACCGCAAAGGAGATACACTACAGCAAAGTTAATCGGAATGGGCTCGTTCCTGTGTATGTTGAATAAGCTTCTTCCTACCAGAGCATTTCATTTTCTTTGGCCGCCAGACAATCATGGACTCTAACAGAAACTGCCCTTAAAAGGAAACTGGAAGTATCTTTTGTGTTAAAAAACTTTACTCTTCCGCATGTATTCTTACCGAACACGTTTTGAAATGCCAAAAAGACTTTTCTGTTCTGATTATCCAGATATACCTTTGTAAAATGGAGCTTTTAGCAATTCGGTGATAAGGCTTTACATTTCTGGAAGAAAACATTGGTCATCGCAAATCTTTCTGTTTTCTGGCTTCTGGTAAAATAGAAAATAAGTGTTAGAATGTTGAAAGGCTGAAACGGAAAAGCCAGGAAAAAAAAAGGAACAAAAAATAACCCCCTCAATGGCCAGTGCTGCAGGTCCTCCTCACAGAATCCTCCCCTGAGTTCCTGCCTTGGGCTCCCCGACCATGGGTTGTTCAGGACATGGAAGCCAACGTAACCCTTTCCTCCTCAAGTTGGTATGGGTCAGAGTAATTTCGCACAGCAAGAGAGAAAGAAACTGACACAGGCCAGCCAACCCTCCGCCCGTCTCCCAGCCCTGGGGGCCACTACCCGCAAAGGGGACCCCAGACCCTGGTGGGCAACCCAGAGAGAGGACTCCCTCCATGGCCAGTGCTGCAGGTCCTCCCTGCAGCATCCTGCCCTGAGTTCCTACCTTGGGCTCCCCGACCATTGGTTTTTCAGGACACGGAAGCCGATAGAACTCTCTCCTCCCCAAGTTGGTATGGGTCAGAGTAATTTGCCAGAGCAATAGAGAAAGAAACTGGAACAGGGTAGCCAAACCTCGGCTTGTGGCCCAGCCCTGGGGGCCACTCCCCGCAAAGGGGACCCCAGACCCTGGTGGGCAACCCAGAGAGAGGACAGTGTTCCATGTGAGGGCCTATCCCTTGAGGAAAGGCAGTGCCAGCCCAGTCCCGTGGGGAGTAAGGTGGGAGGGCAAAGCAGTGGCTTGTTGCCAACAGGCCCCACGCAGGTGGATGAGTTGGGGTCCAGGAAGAGATGCAGGCCATCCCCTAGGAGGCACCCTGAGGTGTGAGAGTTTAGGCCCATCTCACCCACCAACTGGGAAGCCTAAAGGAGGTGGAAGTAAAAGGGAAGCAATGACAAGTCCCCAGGAAAAGACAGAGAGAGGACAGAGCAGACAAGGAGACAGAGGAAGAGAAACAGTGGGGTGGTGGGGATTGGGGTGTGTGTGGGGGGAGGCAGCCTGGGCCCAGTTGCCCTGGCTGCTGAGGATGCGGAGAGGAGGTAGGTGCCTGTGAACTGAAGGCTGGCGATGAGGTCACAAAGCCCTCGCTCCGCCCCACCGGCCGGCCGAGGAGGCCTGTGGACTTGGCTGCGCTGGGCGGCACTGGGGGTGCGGAGTGGGGGGAGGGGCGGTGGGGTGGCCAGGGCGGAGAGACACCTGTGTCGGTCGGGGCTGGGCAGAGGCATTGGCCGGCGGTAGGGCAGCAGGGCGTGGGTGCCCCGCCAGGCGTTGGCTGCGCTGGGGTTAGACACAGGTCAGAAGCTCGGAGAAGGGAGGTGCAGTGCCTAGCAGGCCTCCGGTAAGGCTCCCGAAGCGGTCCGATTTGGGAAGCCAAGCAGGCTAGGGCCTGTGGCCCTTGCAATGTGTCCCTCTGGTCCTCGCTGCCGCCGCAGCCGCCCTGCAAGCTCTTGGGGCAGCTGGGAGCCAGACCAGGCATCTACGGCCATACCACCCTGAAAGCCCCCGATCTCGAGTCTGATCTCGGAAGCTAAGCAGGGTCGGGCCTGGTTAGTACTTGGATGGGAGACCGCCTGGGAATACCGGGTGCTGTAGGCTTTTGCGCCTCGCACCCGATCTCTCCCTTTTGCACCCTGCCTGGTCAGCGCCCCAAGATACAACTGCACTCCCCTCCGTCCCCACACAAGATCCCCTCACCCTCTTCAGCTCGCCTCCTCTGCACTGGGCTCGGCCGCTCCCCCCACCCTCACTTCTCCTCCTGCCCAACTCACACACACTTAAGAGCTCAGGACACCGCTGTCCTCTTCGCCCACAGACTGCTGGGTGCCCTGCAGCCTAGGGTCTGTGCGGGTAGGGGAGGCCCGCCGCCCCCTGAAGCCCTTATGTCAGGGACCCAGGGGCCGTGGGTAACTGCGGGCCGGGCGGCTCATGGGGCCGATCGTCCAAAATGCCCAGGCAGTGCCTGCCTCCGTGCTTCCTTGGGTGAGGTGTGAGGTCTGAGAGCGGGAAGGGGGCGCAGGGTCTTCTTGACAGCGCCTGGCTGACTCCCACTCCGGCCCGGCAGGCCCGGGCCCCTCTCCTCTTCTGAGGTCAGACCAGCACCGTCCTCCCAGACCCATCCAGAAGCCCGCTCCTGTTTCCTTCTCCAGCTGCACCCTGACCGCAGCCCGTCCTCATCTCAGCGAGCAGGGACCGGGCGGGACTCATCCCTGTTCGCCTGTGCCCTGGGGACCGGCAGGGGCCCAGCAGCAGCCCTATCACAGGGGACCAGCTGTTCAGCGCCCACCGGGAGCTGTCCATCCCAACCCCGCCGGCTCTCACGGCCTGGGGATTGGGGAGGGGGTGGAGGCTGGATATCCGGTAGGGAGAAGGAGGATTTGTTCCCGAGGCCAAAGGGTGGCGGACGGACCCTGCCAACCTGACACCTGGGCTGGAGCCTGGCACTTGCCGCCCCACACACACCCACCTCCAGGACAGATCCCTCAGCGACCCCAGGCCACAACCGCTGCCCTTGGTGGAAAGGGAGTGTTGCCTTTCTCGTGGCTCCCCTAGAAAGGAATGTCCAGGGGCAGGGAGCAGTGGGAATGCGCAGGAGGAAACATTGGCGGCTGGCCCAGCGGCAGGTGCCAGGCATGTGGGGCTGCATGCCCCTTGCTCCTTCCTCCTGGGCAGTTCGGGGGGTCTGCATGGGCCGGAGAGTGAGGGCGGGTGGGCCTGCTGGCTCCTGAGATGGGATGAGGGCACAGGGTGGAGGCTTGCACCCAGCCCTACACAGGTGTCCTTGGGTATTCAGGCTGAGGAAAAAGTTGTCCACTGGAGAGGTGGAGGAGGATGAGAAGGAGGAGGAGGAGGAGGAGGAGG